TATAAGAATCGGGGAGAATCATCCGAACTTTGACTTAACAAAGTTTGGAAAGCTACTTGTATGTGTTCATTATGTGCGTGATTTAGGCCTGATGTATAGCGACAAACTCGAATTTGACAATTATATAACTCACATTACATTAAATGCTAACATCAGGGCCAATTTTATAATCAGAGCTTTTCGGACACGCTCTACTATTTCGCTTTTCACACCTATGTCCGACCCCTCCTTGAGTACTGCTCTTCCATTTGGTCGCCTTGTAAACAGATCACAAATTGATGAAATTGAAAGGGTTCGAAGGAGATAGATGTTTGATGATGTTGTGATGTTGTGATGATAGATGTATAGATGCTTTTGTCGGGAAAGTATCACCACACTGTCTTATGAACGTCTTCTTCATAAAACTGATGCGGAGTCGTTGGAGTTTCGGCGAAAGCAGCATGACTTTGGGCTAAGTACAACTTAGCAACTGGGGAAACAGTGTTAAGTTGAATGATCTTTTTGAAATGTCTTCCACTATAGGTTTAGCAAAGGGTCACCCCTACCGTGTGCGCCCGTATAAGGCCAAAACGTCGTCCTTCCAAGGTTCGTTTCTTGTAAGAGTCGTTAGTCTTTGGAACAGCTTAGACTGTGAATGTTTCAGGTGGAAATGAGCTTCGTCCTTCTAGGAACAGATAGGCCTCCTTCTTAAACGTAGCTCGGCTGACGACCAGATTACATGACCACATTTTTTCCGTGACTGTGGATGTACCTTGCCTACGATGTATGAGTTAGGCTCACACTGATAGCTTGCAATCGCACTTGAGCCCGTTGAAACAAAAAAGCAACGTAACTTATTGTATTGATGTTCACATTACGTTGGTCTTTTTCAAATATTGGTGTTTGGTTTTGGATTTTTTCCTCCTATCTAAAGTGTCACTTGTAACCTTGTTGCCCTTATGATGCCCCGCCCCTTTTTTTCCCCTGCACCTGCTGCTGTTGGTGTTGCGCAATGGGAGTTGGTCCCCTAGCGACGTTGGCGGACCTACTACGATGGTATCCGGAGTTCGTGTTGAAGCTGGTCCGAACTTGCAGTGTGGCGGCCACGGGTGAGCACCTTTAGCTGGAGTAGCATACGGTAAGATACTGTATGCCACCACCCAGCGCATATCCCGAGGCCCGCCTGCGGCATGACCGCGCTTAATTGCAGCGCTGACTGTTGACCTCTCACTGGCTACTCAACGTAACGAGATGAATCGATTCGAATCCGTTTGATAATCGGATTTGATAAGTTAAAATCAGTAATTTCGTAATTCTATGAATATTGGGTTGAGGATAAATGTTCGCATCGAAGAGAAACGTGTTGAAATTTTTAAATGTTTCTGTTTTTAGGTGTTCATATACATCGAATGACCTTCCAAAGGCAAATTAATTCTTACATTAATTCTTTCTTCCATATTTAAGGTCACCTGAAAATATGTTTATAAAGCTCGATGAGCACCTCGTCATAACACACCTCGTGCGTGTTTGTCGTTACGAGCATGCTTTCAGGCGCCTACTACACCGCGTCTTGTCATGACTTTTCCATAAACTCACTCCTCACAGGTTCTACTCGACCCAGTTCCCTACATGCTTCTGCTGCTCTATCGCCGGCCCAATCACTCTACACGGATAGCTTCTACATTGCTACTCCGCCGATGCATCATCTTCACACCAGTACCGTCCCAAAACTTCTTCTTCTTCTCCCTAGCGTTAGTCCCCCCCCCCCCGAGTCCGCTGTTCTTGTTAGACGTCGCCACA